ACAGTCTTGGACTTTCCTTAAAAGACATTGATCGCTGCTGTTTGAAAAGCAAAATTTTTCTCTATTCAGCTGAGTCAGTGAAAAGTTGCCCACTCATTCATCAGCATACGCAGAATTGGAAGACCATGGCTTTTTAGTGCCATTATCCTGAAAACATAACAGGATTAAACTAGGCCATTATCCAGTATACAAAATCAACTCCAATTATACCCCCCTTTGGGGGCTCAAAAAGAAGTCAATGATAGTAGAAAACACAATTAAAGGGGCAACTTGTCAACATGTGGCAAGCAGCTCCTTCCTGTTCGCTCTGTGGGGAGTCTGAACTGTCACTCTTAGTAGAGCTCAGCTTCTCCTTATCCAGAGCTAATCACACTGTAGCTCAAAGTATGGTGCACATTTACTGCCTAACCCTGGCAAGGCAGTCACTTAATCTCCCTCAGTTTCTTCTTCTGTCTAATGGAGAAAACAATCAAATAAAAGCTGGCATTTATTTTGTGCTTTAAAGCTCGAAAAGCATTTGCAAAGATTGCCCCATCGGCATCTCCTAACAACCCTATGAGGCAGATTTTATCACTCCCAATTTAGAGATGAGGAAACGGGAGCTCAGGGACTTGCCCATGATTACAAAGTTAGGAAGTGTCAGAAACAGGATTTGAACCTATGATTTTCTGAATCCATTATGGCAAATTGACTCTCTTACAGAACCATCTAGCTCACAGAGCTTCAGTAGAGATCAAATGAAATAACTTACATAGAGTGCTTTATACATGTAAATAAATAAAAATAAAGCTGCAGTAAAATGGAAAGAAGTCAAGACTTGGGAGTCAGAACACCTGGCTTCAAGTCCAGGTGATCCCACCTGGTCATGTGACCACGGGCCAATCACTTTCTCTCACACAAGGGGCCTGCACTAGAAGATCTCTAGGGTCTCTTTTAACTCTCATCTTCAGTGGTTCTGTATGACTTAGAACTTTAATATGTACCCAGAAAAGCACCTCTGAAGATTAGAGGTTACCTCCAATAAAATTTAGTTTATCATCTGAGAAAACAGTCTATATTGCCAATAGGAGAAATTCAGTTAGCTACTAGGGGATAGGGGGTAGATTCTTTTTCTGTCAACCAGAAATTCCCTATAGCTGGGTTTTCAACTCAATTCAATAAAAGTTTACTAATAATAGCTCATTAACATGCTAAATATTAATATACTAAGCACCTAATAAGTATAAAGCATTAAAAGAATTCTAAAGTTAAGTTTGAGGGCAATCCAAAGATATAAGACACTAGTCCCTGTCCTCAAGGACCTCACACTGCAGTAGGGAGATAAATGACTGATACACAAATAACTACAGTACAAAATAGAATATATTAAGTTCATAACAGAATAAACAAAGGCTATGAGAGATTCAGGTCTTTTCTAACTAGGGGAATCAAAGAAGGCTTCATGAAAGAGGATTGATAGGATTTTGAGAGGTGGAGATAGAGGGCAAGAGAAAAGGGAGAGCACTTCAAAAGTGGGGAACAAAAGGAAGTATGAAAAGACAGGGCATGTTCATGGCACAATGAATGGTCTAATTTGGTTTCGAATAAGGAATGATAAGCTGGAAGGCACAAAGGTAAGCTACTGTTCTGGAAAGCTAACTTGGATACCAAGTTAAGGAATTAAGACTTTACTGACTAGGGAAGATGGAAGCCACTGAAGCAGTCTCACTGGAGTATATCTTTGTCAGACAACATCTAGGCAAAACTGGATCAGGGAAAGAAAATGGAGGTGGGGACACTGCTTTAGAGACTGTTGCAACAGTCTAGGGGAGATAATTAAGACTTAGATTAGAGTGCTACCAGCAGGAATGTAAAAGGAGAGGGTGGCTATGAGACACCAAAGAAGTAGAATCAAAAGAACCTCTCAACTCAATGGATGTAAAAGGTGAGGGAGAAGGCATCAAAGAGCACCGGCAAGTTATAAGCACAAGTGACTGGTATAATGGTGGTGCCAAAGGTTCACAAGAATTTCTCGTTTCCATTTCATTCTTGAAACTCAACCCTGCTTCTTAGTCAAAGGAATGCTTAAGAAGGGAATCCCTGGTAATAGCATCTGCCCCCACTACCTACTAAGTCAAGTATTAACATTTCCCAATGGACGCTCAAACCTGGACTCACTCTCCAGACTTCTCACCTGCCACTTTCCTACACCTCCACCAAAGTCTCTCCCTTATGAGTCCTGTAAGCTCCTGGAGGGCAGGGACTGTTTTGCTTAATTGTACTTGTACTCCCAGGATTTAGCAAGTGTCTGTCATGTAGGAAGTGCTTCATAAAAAGATTTCTCTGTCTAGCTAAAGGATAAGCAGCCTCATAAAACAAAGCAGTGCTTCAAACTAGACAGAATTTTCCTCCCCTAAGAAAAAAATGAGGCTACTGGGATGAGAACATTAGAAATTTTCGTTTTTAACAATAAAAAAGAAAAATGTGCTGTGGGCAATCTAACTGGTGATAAGCATCTCCATACTTAGCTAGGTTGGACCTCAAACTGTCAGCACTGGTCTGCCACCAAAGTTTTCCAGCTTAGTAAGACCTGTCAGACCTTTCACTCTGCTGGCATAGCTTTTAGAATTCAGTCACCTTCATACCACAACGAAGCACCAGAGTAGGATGTTTGAGGAAGGGATGCTCATCATTATTACTGATGATAGAAAAGAAAAATTCACATTCATATGGTACTTTAAGGTTTACAAATAAATTTTCTTGTATAAAAAAGAATACTTTTTTGGGGGGGATTTCTTTTGTTTTTATATAACTTAAAAGAACTTTAACAGCAAACCTACCAGATGTGTAATACAAATTATCCTTGTTTTACAGAAGTTAAATGACTTGCTCCTGGTCACACAGTTAGTGCATCATTAATAGGATTCAGACGTCAGACTCCCACATCTCAGTCTGGTATTCATTTTTGTACTCCACACTGCCTTTCCAAATTGTCAGAAAGGTGAGGGTGTCAAATAAGTAACCACTAAATAAATGAGGTATTACCATATATTTGAGACAGTGTGTGTTTGACTTTTTAAATAAAATTTTTGAAGTCTCAGTAGACCACAGACTAATAAGGCAAGAAATCTCATTAGCCTGGGTAGAACAGTGGAAAGAAAGAGGGCCAGAAAACATGGGTTTTAGTTTCTTTGCCACAAACTAGATGTATGACTTTGGGCAGAACACTTCACTTTGTCCACATCTGCTACCTCCTCTATAAAGCAAAGGGTTTGGACAAGACAATTTCTAATATCACTTTCAGTTCTAATATTCTATCATTCCATAATTTTAGTAGGGGTCCAAAATTGTGAGGTCTCCATAAACCTTCACAGATAACTTAGCAAAGGTAAATAAAACTAATCAATCCAATGGAAATCATAGATAAATGGTTTAATGAAGTACTAAAGTGATTCTTAAACTCTGAATATAAGCTTCCTGTGACAGTGTGAATAAACACATTAAGATAAGATAAATCAGGCTGGATGATCATCCTGTTATAAAGTCAAGCCCTTTCCTTCCCTTAAAAGTTCAATATTCCAAGAAGATAAACCAGAAGCCTGAAGATAAATTCATGGAGGTAAGGCTTCAGAAAGAGAAAATTAAGTACAATATTTCAGAAATGTTAAGGGAAGTTTCAGAGAGCAGCCCCTACTGATTTTAGGGCTAGTGAGGGACTGGTAATACAGAAAACCTCTTGTGGCAGCAGGTTGTACAAGAGGTAAAGCACGAGGGTATGTCACAGAATCATAAAAGGTAACAGTCTAAAAGCTTAGCGTTGGATTAATGACAAACCTTCATTTTTATAGATAAGGAAACTGAGGCCAAAGAGTTTAAGTAACTTTCCCAAAGTAAAAAATCAAGTTAGAAGTAACAGAAACAAGGACCAGAACCCAAATATCCCGACTTCTGTCTTAGAATTTGTTCTGTATCACTATGGTACCTCTCAGAAGAAGTACATAATAAAAAACAAAAACAGAACATTTTGTAACTATAATGAAAAAGTTTGGATCCAAAGAAAAAGTGAGAAAATATGCTGTCCTCTCTTTGCAAAAGGAGGGGGCTGTGGGTGTGGAATACTGCATAGACTGTCAGACATGGCTAATGTGCTGGTTTGCTGAACTGCTTTTTGTCTCTTAAAAAATCTGTTACAAAGGATGGCTCACTGGTTAGAGGACAGGGAGGTACATATTTAAAAATGAAAGTATTACAAAAACAAAAGATAGTATCAATAAAAAATAAAGTTAAAATATGATTTTTTTACCTTGGGAATAAAAAAGGCATCTGTGCAAGATTAAAATAATTTAACAAAGGAATATAAAGCCCCATTATCTAAATAAAATATCCTCAAAAATGTTCCTGGGCAGGAAAAAAAAAGGGTTTTGAAGATGACAAGAACATCTAAACATGCCAAAGAATACTTTAATTTTTACCACATCAGAAACCATAAAACATTAAAACAGATCACTGCTATAAAGTATGTAACACTAGAAGGTGTAAAGTATTTAAAAATCCATTATGATTTCCATTTTGCAAGTCAGTAAACTAAGGCCGAGACTGACATGCTCAGTATCATATACCTAGAAGGCTGTCTGAGGAAGGACTCAAACTCAGGCCTTCTTGATTTCAAATCCAGAATTCTATCCACTCACTATATTACCTAGCTGTACCTTCAAGATTATATGTAATACAATTATGGCAAACAATAAAAAAAATGCACTCTATTAAAAAAAGTTAAATATGGTCTTTCTTGACCTTTTCCATGGGGGTAAAATAGTATAAACAATCTTGAACCTCAACCCTTAATCTGAAAAAATGAGTTTTAACATTTGTGTGATAAATTGCATGAAATTTTACTTTTTTTTAAGCACCCTTAGAAAAGATCAAGAGGCATAACAAGTTAAATGACTTATTAAGCCATTTGCTCTTAAAACATTAACCTCAGTGACAAAACTTACATTGATATACTAAAGTTGACTCACCTTTCATACTGTCTATCTTGAGGTGAGGGAGAGCCCCAGTGTCGAAAGTCCACTACAACCATAAGTAGAAGGAGACAGGATATGAGGAAAAGTCCCAGAATGGCTACCCGCTGACGTGCAAATGGACTCACTGTAGGCACAGTAAAATACCAGGAAGCCGGGCAGAAATATGAAAAACTAATCCTGAAATAAAAAAACCATTAGTAAAGCAAAAAAAAAAAATCTTATGATTCATTGATGACAACGGAAAATGCTAATTCACACTACAGCCTGATCAAAGTCCTTGCTACAAGATCAACAAGCAGACATCTAACAGGATCTAAATGTACTGTAATGGCACTGCAAAGTTGGCATGGACCACCTGGTACACTTTGAATGTAATTGGAGGGATGGGATTTAAGAAATTAAAACTGTGATACTAAATAGAAGATCATTTATCTCCCTGGATAATCTCACAAAATGAAATTACAGAGTCACAGCAATTAAATATTTCTACTAAGCTGCTAGAAAAGCAAGAAAGTCTTTTTTTATCCCTCCCCAGAAAGTCTTGAAAAAGGTTCTTAACTCCAAGATTAACTTTCTGTCCTGATGCAACAGAATAGGACTCAGGATTCTAAAGACAATTTTTCCAGGCAGAATTCGGTGTGGTAATATGTGGTGATGAGGATAAATAACATTTACATAGCATTTTAAGGTTTGCAAAGCTCTAGTTAACACCAAATGTTGAAATAGTACATCTATCTACCTTACAGAGCAGAGAATCACAGTTGGACAAAGTACTGCAATTACAATTTTCCTGCCCACAGGAATGGGAGAGGCAGTGTACCATAGTCAGCCTGGAGGGTCAGAAAGACTTGGTTTCAAGTAACACCTAGGACATATACTAGCTGTGAGACCCTGGGCAAGTCACTTAACCATCTAAAGACCCCAGCCAACACTCTCAAACAAAAATTAGCAAGAATAGATGCCTATCTGCATTTGGTAAAAGGGGTTTCTTCACCAGGCACCACACTAAGCTAATTAAACTACAGGCCAGAAAAAAAAAAAAAGATTTTACATGGTCTGTAATCTCCCGGCATAGGATACAGCATTCTGATATAACTGAGTAACAAATATGACATAACCGACTTGCAGAGCCCTAGACTGCCTGCCTACTTACTTACTCCCTAAACTTTCAACATAAGCAGTAGGCACACAGATTTGTCCAGTTAGTGGATTTCTCACACTCAACAATTTAAACAGCACCTATTCCACGCTGGATGGTAAGAGGAATACCAAGATAAAACATAGTTTCCTGCCATTGAGAAAGAAGCTCCTATTTTAATAGGAGCGATTAAACAGGTAACATAAAAGGGTGCTATAAGGTTCTCAGGGGAGCGCCAAACAAAAGCTCAGAGGAAACCCCAAAGGATGAGATCCCTTGGGGATACCTTGGGGACCCACAGAGGAAGCTGTAAGTGAGCAGGTCCTACAAGGGGTGGGCATGAGCTCCGTGGGATCGTGGAATGGGGGGATGGGGGAATGGGGGGATGGGGAGGGAGGAGGAAGGAAGATAGAGTCCTGACATAGACCTGGGACAAGCAAAGGCCAGGAGATGGGCATGCACGGGCAATGCGAGCTTAACAGCTAATCAACAGCACAGCTTGGTCGGAGACCAGTCCAGCAGTGCTCTGTACTAAGGCTAAAAGCTGGGGCTGACCCTGAAAGGGACCTTGAATGCCGGGCTAAAGAGTGTGGCCTTCCCTGGGGAGAGGGGGGGGGGGAGTGGAGGAGGGTGAGGTCCGAGGTGATGGCACACACACAACCTCACACATAAAGACACAGTCACACAACTCACACTGTCATATACACACATATACTCACACACCACAGACAATCACACAATATACACTCCCACAGTCACGCACACTATCTCACACCCCACAGACGATACACATATACGCTCTCGATCACGCTCCCACACACCTGGCCATGGGCTCCCTCGGGGCGAAGCGGGGGGCTCAGCCCCTGTCACCTCCTTTTCTTTTTCCCCTGACAAGGAGGCTTCCTTGTCCCGGGCATCTCCGTCTGCGCCAGCCTGGAAAGGGGAGGGTTTGGCAAGGGGAGGGCTTGGCAAGGGGCCTTGGCCGCAGAACCCCGCCGGCCCGGCCCGGCTAAGGCAGCCCCCTCTCCGGCTCCTCGGAGAAGCTGTTTCGGCGCCTCCCCCGGCCCGCTGGCGACCCCTTCCCGCGGCCTGACTTCCCCGTCGGCGCCGGGGCTTCTTCTCCCGCAGGCCGCCACACGCCCCTGGGGTCCCCACGCGGCGGCTCAAACGCGACTCAGCGGGTCCGAGCTCTCGCAGCCCCGACCGAGCCGCTTCTTTCAGACTCTTGGCCGGAAGGAGGGCCCAGGAAGGCCTGGGGGGGCCGCGGCGCCACGTCCCCAAGGAAACGGTCAGGACCCAATAGGAGGAGGCCTCCCCCTCCAAAGGGCCGGCCCTCGCCGGACAGACTGCTGAGTAAATGGCACGCAGTCAATCCACGGGACAGATTGTCCTCCACAGCCCGCCCCGAGGCGCAGCTGCGGCCAATCACGGAGGGCGTGCGGAAGAAGCTGAGCGAGTGGGCGGTACCGGGGGCGGCTTCCCGGATTGAAGAGCAGGCCGCCCACACGGGGGCTTTCTGTCTTCCGTTATTCTCCTGCGGCTAGTGACCGCTGCCTTCCCTGGCGTGCGGCGTCACCCCTGGAGCGACCCCGGACCCTGCCCTTAGCGTTTCTGGCCGCACCCGAGCGCCCTTCCCAGGGACCGAGATGTGCTCGACCGCGGTTTTACCTCCGAGCTCCTCTGGCCCGCAAGGCGCGGGCCCAGTCCCCTCCGCAGCTGCCCAGCCGGCTCCCAGGACACCCTTCATCCCACCCTAGAAGCCGGCTCCCTGGAGAGGATACGCAGATAAGGATCCTGTTGGGAATGACTGCTTAAGATGCTTGTCCTTCCCTCCAGGCTCCTGATAATTTACGTTTTAAAGTACTGTTTAATGTGCAGGATATGATTCCTATCCACCCACAAGTTAGAAAATGGAACATTCAGTACGATGGTATCAAGAATACCTTCCTTTAATGCTGTAACAATAATTGCTAACCAATGCCTCATTTACCTCTCCAATCCCCAAACCCTCCCATTACTACTTCCTTTGTCTTTTTGAAAACCAGAGGTGACCGGTTTCTTTGTCCATCTGGTGAAGACTTTATAGACTGACTAAATCCCTCTGGCATTTACTGAAAGGTTAGAGGTTTGTGTTTGGATTTATCCAATCAGCAGGGTTAAAAAAAAAAATAGGTTGAATCCTTGTTCTCCTTTCATCCGCTGTGCTAATGAGCAGAGCATGCTATAAACCAGATTTAGTCGTTTTTTCACTTTATATTGCATAAAACATGTTGTAACACATTATAGAAATCCAGATTTCAAAACTAATGTTTAACTGCCTTTTACTGGAAACACATCTACTGATGTAGCTGCAATTTTCTCAGGATGTTTCCAACTCTCCCTATCCCTAGGCAAAATCATTACCATTCTAGCAGTTACCCAGTGTTCCACCTTCATCTTTACGGGGGGGGGGGGGGGGGGGGGGGGAGATTAGGCAAAAAAAAAAAAAAAAAAAAACAAAGGGAAGGGGAAGTACTAGTAGCAAAAGGGGGGGGGGACTTTGAGGGACTAAGTTAACTTATCTATCCTCATAGCTCCAAATGTGCTTCGTGACAAAGACTAGATGAGAGTTGGAGATTTTAGGAATTTAATCAAGAAGAAGGGAAGAAAAGGGACCCAAAGTAGGAAAGTAAGGAAAACAGAAAAAGAAAGGGAGAAGAAGCAAAAAGAAGAAAAACTGAATAAATTAAAGGGATAAAAGTAAATTCAGTGAGGAGGAAAAGCAGGAAATGAAGGTGGAAAGAGGGATGGTAGTTACATCATGCTATATACACAGCATGGTTCATGACCACCGGACCTGTTCAAACCTGCCACTTCCTCAGCTTCTGGAGTCTATGCAAAAAGCAAACACAGGTGAAAGGATTTGTCATAGGACAGAATTTCTTGTCATATATACACCTTTCTAACCAATGTAGTGGAGAGAGTCCTGAGTACGACAAATGAACTATAAATAAGGGCAACTATCTAGGTTTTTAGCAGGGAGGTGTTGCAGACGCTGACCCATTCTAGAATAACTCATCACTCCAACTATTTGGATCTCTTCATTGTCCCCCAAACATACCAACTTCATTTCACTTACACTATTTTGCTTATCAAATCTCTTTAGCTTAGTTTGCCTTTTCCTTGTCTGCCTACCCTTCTGTTAATTACTTTCTGTTCATCTTGTATATAGCTTGCTTTGTATATATTTGTTTGCATGTTGTCACCCCCATGAGACTGTAAGGTCCTTGAGGGCAGGGACTACCTTTTGCCTCTTTCTCTATCCCCAACATTTAGCACAATGCCTGGCACATAGTAGGCATTTAACATTTATTAATATACAAGACTCAACATGTCACCTTTTTCATCGTCTTCTCTATTTCAATTCATATTGCTGTCTTCTTTCTCCACCTCCTGTAACACTTGCTCATATGCCATTTTGTAGTGTTTATTTCATGTGTGTTATCTCCCCAAAGAGACTATAAACTTCTTGAAGTAGGCCTTCAAAAATGCTTGTTAAATTGAACCCAAAGATTGTTTAGATCCATATTTAAAATTCAAAGTTTAAGTATTTAAGTTTTTATAAAAAACAAACAAGCCTCTTCCTTCCTATTAATATACATGTGTTCCTGGAGATCCTATAAAAGAGATGTCACGCAACCTGAGAGTTCAATAGTTAACATGTTAGATGACAGAATCAAGATTCAAAAGCATCTTGATGGGATAGAACTGGTGGGCCAAAGCACAGGATGAAATGTGTTAGGGATAAATGTAACCACTAGTATGTGGCTCTAGATCATATTTAAAAGAAACAGGATAGGTAAAAGTGAAGGAAGGATAGGTATATTTTATTAAGTAAGTCTACTCCTGTGAGGAAATACAGGAACCAGGCAAGAAAGCCTACTGGAGATCATTTTGGTAAAGATTAAGATGTTTTACTATCAGTTAATATTACAGACTACCTGGGCAGGAACAGGAAATAGACGAGAAATTTATGAAACAATTAAACAAAAGAAGTCAGTTTTTACTGTGTCTGACACTGTACTAAGCACTAGGGATACCAAAAAAGAAAAGAAAAAAAAGGCAAGCTTTAGTACCAATAGGGGAAATTCAGTTATCCAGACATATGCTAGTGCTCCTTCCCCGCCAACAGTAAAGTACCTAATAACTTCTTGGCTTTCCTTAATGATAAATTAATCCTTCAAAATATGACCAAACTAACAGAGGGGAATTCCGTTCTGGTTATGATTCTCATCAATAGGTAAGAGCTGGTGTCAAGGGCAGAAATAGTGGGAACCATGGTAGGAAAGGGCCCACACCATCATGGAGGTGGAATGGTCTGACATGTATTAGAGACTTGAGAAGAACAGATTTGAATAGGTTCAAAGGAAGCATAGGTTGTATTAGATGGGCTAAAATTTCATAGGTAAAGTCAGTCCAGGAAGAATGGGAAACTTTAAAGATGAAATTCTGAAGACACAAAAAGAAACCATTTTATGAAGTGTCTCATGGGTATATGGAGAACTCACCAACCTAGATTTTTAAAAATTATGATCAAAAGGTAGGAGCAAGAACAAGTATTAGAGGAGGCATATAAAAACTTTAACGAGAGTGCTAAGGCTCAGGACCAAGCAAGGCTAGCCAGGATAGCTAAGGGCATCAACAAGGATTTTACTTTTGTTTTTTGCTGCTTTGGGGAAGAGGGTTAAAGAAGGTGGACACCACAGATCAGGATGGGTGGATCAACCACAAATGATAACACAAAAAAGGTGGAGCAGCTTAACTTAGTTTTCTTGGCCACGGAGAGTGACCTCTGGATTGAAAGGCAGATCAAAAAATGGCTGATGGGGCATTAATATCCAATATATGTAAGGACATAGTAACTGATTCAGATGGACGACACCCTTGGGTATTGAAAATTTAAAAACAAAACCAAAAAACTGCCAAAATGTAACTGCTGAACCAGTCAGCAGAAATGATAGTCCTGTGGTACTCTGCCTATTGCCGCATTATATCTGGGGTACTGTGTTCATTTCCTGGGGTTGTCCTTTAGGACAGTGACAGGATAGAGAGGTTCTAGAGCAGTGAAATCAGAACAGTAAAGAGGCATGGTAAAAAGATATGAGTCCATCAAAGATGAGAATAAGTTGAAGGACCTAGGGATGTTTAACCAAAAGTTAAGACTGCTGAAAAGGAGGCTATGGGGAGAAGGGATGCTGACTGATGGCTGTTTTCAAGTACCTTAAAGGTTAATTTGACAAAGGACCCCAGAAGACAGAACTAGGAGCACTGGGTACAAATTGTAAAGAGGCCAAGTTAGACTTCAATCAAGCAGCAAGTACTTGAGTACCCACTGTGTACCAGGCTATGTTTGAGGTGTATGGAATACAGGCTGGATGTTAACAATCAGCACTATAACAAAAATAAGATGGGCTGCCTCAGGGGCAGTAAATTCTCCCTCACAGGAAGAATTCAAGCAAAGGTTGGATTACTATTATTGGTCGTAGGATGGCATAGATTCTTTTGTGAATATGGGTTGGACTACATGGCCAAGGAGATCTTTCACAGCTCTGAAATTCTGTGAGGCTATTTCTGCACGAGCACACACACAAACACACACACGTATGTGTGTATGAATAGATATGTGTGTGTATATATATATATGTATGTATTTTTAATCAATTGCATAACTGTGGAATGGGAAACAGCTGGTTTAACAGTAGATGATGTGGGAAACAAAAGATCTGGCAGTTTTAGTTAACCACAATCTCATTATGTGAAGCAACAGTGTGACATAACTGCCCCCAAAGCTAACGAAATCTTAGATGCGATGAAAGTATGGAATCTCATTTCCTTTCCTTCATGGAAGAACATCTTAAAGTAGTCTGCACTTGATGTATCATCCAACAAATATTTATTAAACACCTACTAAAAGCAAGACCCCGTGCTAGCAACAGGGGGTAAAAAGACAAAAATGATAACCTCTGCTCTCAGAGCTCACATTTTTCTGGAAGTATA